TATTTATTAATCTCTCTTTTTTTATTAAATTTACTTGATTCCTTCTTCCAGTAGGCTTAATCCAAATATAATTCGCACATTTTTTTATTATTTATTTATAAAAATTTGTATTTTTAAATATTTTTTATAAATTTTAATAAAATTTATACCTTCAAAAAATTAAGTTTTATTTTATTCAAAATTTCCTAAGATATACCTGAACTTACATTTTGGTGCGTTTTGAAATTTGGCGTATTTAATAGAAGCGATAATAACGAAAATGTGGTTGACTCACTTTGTTAAAATTATTTGAAAGAATGAACGATGAACCTTTTTTTCTCACTTGCCTCAATGAAAAAAAAAAGGAAAGTAGGTAAGTTACTATAAATTAAGAATTACGCCAAGTGAATTATTCTTGGCGCAAAATGAAAAAAAAATATGCCAAGATAATTTTTTAAATTTCTCCATAAATTTCTCACCAAAAATTATAAAATTTAATATCTAGGCTTAATTTGAGTCGTAGAATCGAAATATGAAATATTATATAATGTAATTATATAAATTATATTAAAATTATGTATTCAGAAAAAGTCCGATTTTGTGCCAAAATATGTTTGAATAATGCTATATAGAAATCTAATATATATCCTAAGTCGCGCTTTCGAGACATGACAAACGCAATTTGAATTTCGTCAATCGGCGCTGGAAAACGGGAGATACTGAACTGCCCCCCTTTTCTTTTTGCGTAGTGTACATACACTTAATAATTCATCTACGTCAAACCTATGCCACTGTCTTTATTTTAACTCTTTTAATAGTTAATCAAGGGATAAACTACATGCAAAGGAATATTCTCATATAGAAAGTAATTATGACCTTCTCAAAGTTCTTTCTACAATTTTTAATGGAATCATCGAGAAACAGAAATGGTGAATTTTGACCAGCCATAAAAAATAAACTGAATATAAGATTCCTCTACCACATCTTTTCTTTATGGTGATCACGCAATAATGTCGCTTTCTTTCCTTCAGCGCAACACATGTTACTCAAAAACCGGCGAGAACAGGTTGAGCGCATTTCGAAGATGCGCAGAGAGATAGAATAAAGATTTCTGCGGTCTCACAAATATCAGAACTTGATTATTCCAACTTAAAAATTCCGACCGAATTCACCAACTGAAAATGTTTTATAGATAATCTTCGCCGAATTTATTTCATAATTCTGAATAAGTATCCAGATATCATTAGTATGAGCTATGGATTGAAAGATCTGAACTCAGTACGTCTTACCTTTAGTAAATATCCTCACATACCAAGAACCAGATATTCCAATATATTAGCAAAATCAAATTCTGTGTTTTTATCTACTTATATAATAATGCAAAAATTCCAATACAATGATCTCCAGAGTATCAACTCTGAAGTATTTAAGTAATTCAATATTGCAATAATGAGTATACACAGCAGTTCGTGCTATGTTATATAAGTGTGCCTTAATTATACATTGTTATCTACTCAAGTTTAACAACTCCAATGTATAACTCCAGTGTTTCTTAGGAGAAAAAGTATACAGCCAATTCCAATTTTTCACACTCTAGCTGGTTATTGTTTGGAGCAACACCTGTTCGATTCTGTACTGAAGTCTCAAATGTCCCATGCACTTTTACCCGTTTCGAAGATCTGCTTCCTTTTCCAACCCAAGATTCGTGCTTTTTTATGTAAAAATTCAATATTTTTTTTAGTTTAACCGATTTTTGTGAATATAAATATTAATCATCTTAATCTGTGAAAAATCTCTGGGGAAAGTGCAGAATCACCCACTGCTTGGCGCGTTTTTAAGAATTGCAATACTCGGTATCCATGTACACATCGACTTATTTTCACTTTAAAAATATCCCAAAATTGTACAAAATTGGCATTGCGCACTACCTTGACCTTATCCATGCACACATCGACCTATTTTAACTTAAAAAGTCAAAGAAAATTGACATAAATCCAATTCTTCTTACTTTTGTAAAAAGCGCCAAACAAATAAGTGGGCGATTCTGCACTTTACCCTCCTCACCCCCCCCCAAAATGTATTTAACTTTGAAAAAATGCACAACAGTTATCTACAAAAGTTAAGGGCATTACCAGTTGACCTATGTTATGGGAAGGCATTACCAGTTGACATCGCTGGTGTCCCCATACTTTTACCTTTACCTATCTACAAAAGTTAAGACTGACTTTCCTCAAAATCTATTTAAGGAAAGTGATATTTTTTTTACTTATGGGATAGGAAATTTATTAAAATTTCCAAATTGCTGCTCAAAATAAGCCAGATATCGAAATCTGGATAAAACAACTAATATGTTTTTATAGCCGTTAATGAAAAAAGTACGTCGTAAACAAAGTTTCGACAGATATAAATTTGAAATTCGCTTTACTCAGTCCAACATTTCCAGAAAATATTTATGTTCCATTCCAGCACCTACGAATATTTTTTTTTCCCTCAAGGTAAAAAAAAAAAAAAAAAAAAAAAAAAAAAAAAAAAATTGTTTTATGGAATTTGTTTTTCAATCCCAGCAAAAAATCTGCAATTTTTTAAATAAAATATTTAGAATTCCAGATTTTTTTTCACGTGCTATGTGGCCTCGAAAATTAATTAACACTGTTTTCAGAATCCTGATAATAATAATTGTTTTCGTTTAAAAAAAATGTCGGCGATATTCTTTTGATTGCGTAAGCCTTGCCATGTGCAAAAACTCAAGATAAAAGTAACAATAAGCGCAATTCTGAGTCTTTCATCTCGCGTTTCAGAAATTCTTGTGACGTAAGTGATGACGCAAGAGATGGACATCAATAATAACGCCAAACACATCACGTATACCCCGCTCGGTCGAAAAAAATAAACAATGAATATGGCAGATTATTTTCGCCGGCTTGTTACCACGATGTAGTAGTAAAGTGTAATTCCAAGTCTCTACACTAAACCTTCTTCGAATCTAAAACAGTATAAAAACATTCTCTTAGTGATTCTACTACGATAAATGCAAGCATTATCTTCTTAGCTTTTTATAACGAGTTATCTGATAAAACTGTCCTTGAATCAGACCAGAGATCCTTTGCGGCATACAAATCACATTTTCAAATTCTGGGAAATTCCGTCTTTCTTTATTTTCTTATGATAAATCTTTTTCTATATATGTATAACTTTAAAAGAATTTTTTGTTTTTTTTAAAGTAGGAAAAAAATTTTAATAGAAAAGTACAATTGCGCTTTTGGAGAATACTTATTTACGATCACAAAATATATCTGCCACACGGTGATTATGATTTTAATGTTCGTTTCTGGCCAGCGTCAAAGCTTAAAACACTCACAGATATGAATACATCATTTTAAGTTTCAAATTATTATACATATTCATTAAAATTACTTAATTACTAATTTCTTTCCATACGTATTTTCTCAAAATTCATTTACTATAATAATATATTCTGCTCATCTATATCTTTTTATACATAATTAATAACAACGATCGAAAAAAATGAATGAAATACATAGTCGACCACAGAACCTTTAGCTTCTGACATTAACACAAAATTTTAATCAAGTAGTCTGAATCTAAATTGCCTTTGCATCTTGAACTACGCAATATGATGATTATTTCACATACAATAAATTTTTATTAAATATTTTTTTTATTTATGACATTCCTAAAAATTAATAACCTTAAATACAATGAAACTGATTCACCATGCCCTAAAAACCAGAAAAAACAAATATATTTATTAAGAGATACAACGCCCGTAATTAAGCCTAAGCGCAAAGCTGAATTTTTAGCAAAAACATTAATTAACTAATTAAATTAAAAAATACGGTAACAAACATATAAACAAATTTATCATATATCTATAGACAAAGATAACTGCAGGATACTCCACCTAACAAAAATTACATTTCCTTCATCAGTACTTATAAAAATACCATCAATAACCGGTGCGTAAATTTTGAGTAATTCCTACTCGTAAATGAGCAGATTTTATCGTTTTATAACAACTCAACTTTTTATTCATATAGGGTAATGGTAAATAACTAGCTATTTCATCTGTTATATTAAATTATACTTCTCAAATGCTTAAGTAATTATCGTTTTTATGTTTCATGTAGAAAGAACTGAAATAAATTTTTAAAATAGATTAAGTTTATAAAGAATGCAACTCGAATACGACATTCACTAGTATTCATTAATTTAGCATTCATGATACACTATCGAATCAAAATACACTTATTACTATCAAAACATTTTTATAATAAACTTTTTATCATCAATTTACAACAACATTTACAGTTCAAATAATCACACTCGTACAAATTAGCTAAGAGATTAAAAAAAAGAAAAAGAATGATAGTAATTAACCTAAACAAATATATCTTCAAAATTACGTTCAAACATCATATTTCAACTATTTACGCTAAGATTTCAAAATAAAATTGGTTACAGTTAACAGAATTTAGTTACTATTACGAATTTACACTTTTTCTCCGCAACAAACGATACTGAAGAAACATAATCCATTCATTTAAACGTACAGGAAAACAGAATTAGCAGGTACATTTTTTAAAACGTCTATCTTTCACTCAACGAAAAGAAAGAAAAGAAAAGAAAAATTTCTGATATCTTATCGGCAGTTATCCTTCAATAGATAGCCCCACACTTCACTTTAACATAAACAAAATTGGGATTCCACAATTTTAATCCAACAAACTGTGGGCTAAGATTAAATTTTTTACATCTGTGGTCATATAAATTACATAAATAACCAATCAAATTTTGTTTCAACCACCAAATACTAATTAAAAAGATAATGCGTCATATCAAAACAACATCCGCCTTACGGTCTTATTTGCAGATAATAATAATATTTGACAGCAGAAAATTTCCTACAATTTTTCCTTTTTAAAGCGAAAAAACAGAACAAGATATTAAAATTATATTTTTAATTAAATTTTAATTTTGAAAAAACCACCTGGGGCACTCACCGTAGAATTGCCAATTCTTTTCTGCAGTTCTAGTTATCACTTTCCCATCTTCCGGTGGTTCCACATCGCCCTAAAATGACTGGTATAATGTTTGAATCTGCGCATGGCTCAAACTAGGAATAGACAACTGCGTCATCTATGCCGAACTGCGTAGATGTTAGAAGGAAAAGAAAAGGAAAATCGCCTCGCCTAATCCACTCCGGACCAACTTAAATTTTTGATCAATCCATAAGCGATTTCTCTATTCGGTTTGCGGCGGATTCCTAGTACGTAGGGAAAATTTAACGGTCCTACACTACTACATTTTTATTTCCCGCGCTTCCAACCCTTTCCCTTCGGCATGAATGTCACGAGAATCCCGTACCAGGCGCAAGAAAGGGTTGCCGGTCATCCGAAGGTATCGCCAAAATACTCGCCAAACATACAAATATCTGAGTGATTGATGATGTTACACCTGGGCAACGTTTGCAAATGTCAATTCGATAGACAATCCGCACGTGTAGAAAGTAAAACTAGCCAAAAAGACGAGCAAATTTAATAAAAAATTATATGAAATGACATTTTAATACTTTTTGGGGGGGCTGTTAATCATAAAAATTCATTTTTGGCTGTAAGTAATAGCTATTTGTGTTCATTTTTAAGTAATTCGAAGTATGAAGAAAGTTTAAATTTAGATCATTTAAAATTTAGACGTTTATGAAAACCGATAGCAGCGAATTTCAGTATTTAGTAGTAGTAGAAACTGGGTATGCTAAGTCCTGCTAAGATTATCAAGGTTATCAGGAATAAATAATATTAAGTTGATCGTATCCCCCCCCGAACTTTCTGTTGTAATCTGAATAACGAATATATAGATAACTGAGTAGTCTTATGTTATCGGGACTGGATTCGGAAATGTATGTCACACACACACACACATATACATATATATATACGTACGTAATTATATACATGCGTACATGAACACATGCATCCATATATACATGTTTATAAGGTTTAATAAAAAATAAAATACATACATAAATTTCTGAACCGGTCCTGAAAACAATACTTGTTAGAACGTACTTAAATAGAAACAAAATTACTTTTGCTATATGTGCTATTTAATTTGCTAATCTGAATGAAAGAAAAATCAACGGTATTATTTATGGTGTCATTTGAAAAGCAATCGCAAGCTTAGTTTCATACTACGGGCAGATGCGGGCTTGAAAACGGTGCATATATTGCAATGTAATATAATTTTGACATTTATGAATCATTTTGGCCCTATAGTTTAGGTATGAAATAGAAACTAAGAACCAGGGTTCGAATCTCTGGGAACAAGGTAGCTACATGGGCGTCTTAGTTTTTTTTCCCATGTGTAACGTGTATACGAGCCAGTTTCCCTTAGAAAGTTCTCCATGAAGGCATTCCTCCTCTTAAGTAGGTTAGCCCTAGTATCTTTCTAAGGTTTAAAGATTATAACAACCTAATAAACTAAACCAAGACACTAAGAATGCTTTGAAAAAAGCTAATTGGAATTCAAGAGATCCACTTACACCTTGACATTTTTTTCTTCGGAAAGGGGGGAGGGTTTTATTACAGTCAACCCTTGATTAACTCAGGTAATACCGGGGACGACTTCCATAGTTAACTTAAAATTATAAGGTATTCTCCCTCCTTATGTCTTCTTGGTGTAACGGTACCATGGTACCATGGTTCTTGGTGTAACCAGCATGTCTTGTTGGTGTAACGGTACCACACTCGGCGAATATTTGAGAGATCCAGGTTCGAGTCCCGGCGAGGGCATTTTCATGTATCCTTCTTCAAAAAAACCTTAATGTCTCTGCAGTGGCGCAAGAACTAAAAGATTGTGGACAATAATTCGTCACTACCAGGATTTAGCGATTGAGTCCCCTAATCCCCAGTCGCCCTTTAAAAGGGGGTTTCTCGCTCCTTTCTCCTTCGTTATGTAACGGTAGAACCCTCGGCGGGTATTCGAGAGGTCAAGATTCGAGTTCCGGAGAGGGCATTGCACATTATTCACGTATCCTGATTTTAAAACAAATTTTAAAAATCTGATGACTATAAATAAACTCACAGTTAATCTGAGGGTAGTTTTCTAAAAAAAGAGGGGGGACTTTCTCTTTCTTCCTGTCGGAACCTATATTTCTTCCTCGCCTATTATATGGTGAACATGTTGTCTGTTTCTGTTTACATTGCTCTTGTATTTCAATGTTAGCGTGAAACAAAACATTAATGGCTGTATATTTGTTTAATTTTTATAGAGAAATTTACTTTTAACTGATAATTAAACGAAGTATATATATTCCAGAGCACATGTGATATAAACGCACTATTGCTGCTTAAAAGAACTTCCAAATGTTAATCCATACATTTTTATTTTCTTTTCTGTATTTTCTGTAGACAGCTCTGTTTATGCTGCTAGTTTGTGAAAGTAATTTTTCCGTTGTTCTACAATAACTAAACTTAATTTTTTAACCCTTTCTTGTCGACTTTTTGATTTATAAAAATGTTTACTTTTTTTGAATTAAAAAATAAAATGACAATACAGATATGCAAGAACAATTTTTAACCCAAAGGGCGTCAACCCAGAAGGACTACTAATTTCGTTTTGGCATTTTGCGTTGATTCACAATAAACGGTGAAACACTTTTTTAAATTCTTGCCAACAAACATTAGAGCCTTTTGTTATATTTAAAGAAATTAAATAATGAAGAATCTGCATAAATGTATGTATGATTCTCGCATTGTGATAAAACAACGGTACCTAGAGCCATCATATTTTGAATAACGTACGTCTCCACCCGAATATGGACATCTGGAAGTCCAAATTTGGAATTTGTTTTGTTATTTCTTATCATATTTTGTAAAGCATTTATGAGTTTTTGATTAAGGAACTCAATGATTTCAAAGCGAGCAATGGCAATACTGTACGAAAAAAAAAAAAAACATTTTTATCTCTGCGTGAGACTATGTATCGGAAATTCTAAAGATGTGTTCTTTTAAATATTTTGTGATATTGCTCTTGAATTGAATTTTATGCTTTAAGTGCGAAGAACATGATATTTAATAAATAAAGGTAACACACAAAACGTTAAAAAAACGCCCATTTGGGCGTAATATAAAATCTGAAAGCTTTCAGATTTTTTTCTTTGGGAATTTCGCATTTAAAAAAAAATTCACATGGGACATAAATGTCCCTTTAGGTTCTCTTAGGTCCCTCCATCAGCTTCTGGTTCGGTATTTTCTTGGTGACTGCTTGACCTTTCCGTATTCTTCTGAAGAAAGTTACTTTGGTTGAAAGTAACTTTCATACATAGTAACGTTCATGTAAGTAACATGGTAAAGCATGTAACTTACATGTAAGTAACATCATAAAGGCCATGTAAGTAGCATGACCAGATTCTGAAATCACATCTGTGGTGGAAGGAGCATATTCGGAACCACTATCTTGAAATAGTTCTGCATCGTCTTCAGACTTATTCCCCAAACGACCAGCAAGCTGTTGTAATTCTGTGTCATCTAACTTCCTTTTTCTGAAATAAAGTATATAAATATGCATATTTTTGAACACACGAACAACATAAACCGACTGGGACGCATTTATCCCTAATGAGAATTCAGAGAGGGACGCATATGTTCTATCTTGAAATTTTCAGGGAAAAAGGAAATAAAAATATATTGGCAATACTATAAAAGTAATTCCCACTTTTAGCCACCGATTTACAGGTAAAGAAGCATTAAAAAAAAAAAACTAACACACACGCAGGTATGTATTAGGACACGTTTGCTTTGTCACTGTATGTAAACTGACTGAGAGAGCATGGCGACATTGGTGGGAAACCTTTATCGAAGTCTTAGTACTCTAGTGAGGACACAGACTAGCGCGTTTATAATAGACGCGCTTCTCTCTGGAATTTTTTGATTTTTCTATGGGACAGCGGTTAAAAATGATAACGTCTAGTTCCATTAGACGTGAAAAGGTAAAAAAAGGAGCTCTGTTAATCCGCTTCAATTTTTATTTGTGAATTTAATTCTGTCATGTTGGTTGTTCGTACTTAATTGGAAACATGGCGAAATTCTCTTTCTTGTGACTTTACCGTTAGTCTATCCATGAAGCATTTTAGACATTTATAATTTTGTTACTTACAGGTTTTCGTTTTTTCAAATCCACTAAGAATGTTAGTCGCATAGCATTATCAGCTTCAAAAATTGTGAAACGATTGAAATTTAATAGGAGGATCCGCATGTTGGAATAAACATGATAAAAAAAAACATTCATTCATTTTCACTGTCTTTTGATGAAGCCAGAGACAGTTGGCTGAAAGCGTTGGGGCATGAAATACTCGTTAAAGATGCTGTAGGTGGAGTCCTTTACGAAAAGCTACCAGGCTTTGCCTGTCATTTTGTTCCCTAGTTAACTCAGAGTTGATTGCAGTTTGAAAAATTCAAAGATAAAATGAATAGCATAAAAATATTTTTAAAACATTAAATATATAAAACCTAAAAGTAATAATAAAAATAATAAATTAAAATGAAACAACGTTAAATTGCCTTCGATAGTGGCCAAAATGGGTATTTCCGTTGAAATATGGTACCCAGAATTAATTACAATAATTCCTTTACTTCGCACAAGGAAGTAAAAATGCGGTTATAACATCATAAAATGCACTGATCGAACAAAATTCCTGACTCTGATTCTAGTTCACAAATTAACTGTACTGAAAAAGTAAATAAATTGTAAGATTCCTATCTTTTAAGTTAAAGTTGAGGAACAGAGAACAGATACTCGAGAAGGGTTAAATACACTTTATTATTCCAAATAAAGTTTAACAGTCGACTTCTTGGAGTTTACAATAAAGCCTCCACTCGGGCTTGAACTCAGGAAACTTAGGAATGAAGCTTAACTAAGCTAAAAAGATCTAGCCGAAACTATCCAGATTCTAACAGAGTTGGCCCCTTAACGCTAACAAAAGTGAAGCAAGCTATCAAGGGCCTAAAGTACGGTCGAGGGTAATAATAGAGTGTATCGCCAAAAGGCTAACGCGCGCTGCTCAGAATCACTGGCTCTCTAACAAAGTCAGTAGAACTTCACAGTCACTCTTTCTCTTCCTGATTTACATTTGACCGCGATTCTGAAAATACATTCTGGCCGGAAGTTGTCAGCTGAAATTCAGAAAGGACAGGAAAGTAACTTTAACTCAAAATTAATTGTTAGAGAAATCAAGATAAATCTTACAAAATAAACAAAGTACCTAAATTTTTTTTTTAAAAAAATCTGAAAGGTTTCAGATTTTAAATTACGTCTAAAGAGGTGTTTTGTTTTTTTAATTTTTTGTATTACCTT